GACACCTCTGGTAGCCCACACTTTAATCGGAGCTGGCAGAAATTAATTCAAGAGGAGTTTTTACATGGACTCCACTGTCGTATTCCGCTTTTATGCTTGACTACAAGAATCCTATGAGACTAAGCTGACATCCAAGAACTGGGAGGTTAGTTTTACATAAGTATAGCATGGTATTAAGTTAAGGTATATTTTGCTTAGGTGAAAAATAGATCTGTTTGAATGTACTGTGTCTACCGAAACCCTTCAACGTTTAGAAAACATAATGGGACCAAACTTTTAATTAGCCAAGTTATCCTTTAAATTTAATTTGTTTCTCTGTTATTCCTAATGCTCTCCCAGAGTTACTATTTGCTTGTTCAAGTTACAAATGCTGAGCCCAACAGAGATTTAATTCAATACATCAAACACTTACTGAGGGCTTCTAAAGGTCAAGCCTTACACTAGACCCTGGGGACATTAAGAAAAAAAATCGTTTGTGTAATACATGTATAACAGTATTTACATGCATAACCATAAAAAATAAAACTAAGATAATAATAATTGGCAAGTATAACAGTGGTTATGTGTGAGTGGTGAGATAATAACTTCTACTCCCTCTTTTCTATTTACCTGAATTTCCTAAACATTTTACAATGAGTATGTGTTACTATTATAACAATTAAAAAAAAAATTAAGGTTCCTCTATGGGAGTAGAAGAAAGGGAAGTAAAGATAGCTTAATTATACATTTGTTATGCTTAGCAAATTAATTTTTTACTTTAATAAAACAAACAAGTTATCCTCTTTAAAAAGTCATAATCATTATTGTTATCAAAAGCAATTTTGAGAATCTGAGATCCTGTCTGACAGCAAATGAATTGAGACCTGGCCAATCAAATTAAGCGGTCAAAATCTATTGTCACAGGTAAGTATTCACGAGGCCATAAAGAGAGTCTTTGGCTTCAAAAATACTCTTTATAATGTTAGACAATTTATTGCCTCTAAAACTCACTGGGGGATAATAAATGCTACTTGTGAATGAGAAATAAAAAGTTTTTATTCCAAGAAATAAAGAAAATGTGTCACTGGGACATATGTAGTTATTTTTGTTTGTTTGGGTTTGATTTGGTAGATACAAGTGAAAAATGAGTTTCTGCAAAGTGCTTTGAATACTCAAGCTTATGTTAGAAGTCTGGGTAAATACAACAATACTCAAAGAAATAAACTAAAAACCACAGAACAAATATTTATAACCAAATGCCTAACCACAGTACTACCAATGAAATTCCTCTCTAACGAGCCCGGATTAGTAGTTGCAAACTCAAGTTGCAATGTGTGAATCAGTCATGAGTAAGCCACCTTTAAGGTTACATTTATCAGAAAGATTTGTATATGCCACTCATACATTTCAACTGATCATAATCAATCATTTCAAAACACACAGGAATCTCTTTTTCAGTTAACCAGTTCCAGATTTCTCTGAAAATAATTTTCTCCAGTCTTAGGATGATCATAATAACCTCGGTTTTGGAGGAGAAGCAAAAGAGAAGATAGCATCTCTATGCAAGTTAAGAAAACTATGTGCTGTCTCTTTTAACCTCCAATCTATAGCCCTTTGCTTTACTTTCCCTTACTTACACTTTCCATCTGTCAACAAGTGCTTGTAATTTTATTACACTGTCCTGTAGTTTATGCAGAGTTGGTATTATTTTACAGAGTTCTGTTAATGGACTGGATAAATGGTAATGCTATTTAAACTAGTCTCCTTCTCCAGCAAACACAGCTGCAACCGTACTACTATTTCTGAGCAAACATCTTGACCTGAACATGTAGTGCACTCTCAACCCATCCAAAGCGAAATTGGAGCAGACAGCAAAGGAAAAGCATATTTGGCTGCTAGCAGCAACCAACCATGTCGAATCATAATTCATATACAGTGTACCCTCTTTTTCTTTTATAATGCATTTAGATTCCACAGAAAGCATGTGTGCTTCTTCCCCTAGCATCTCATATTCAGCCAAGAATCAAGTGATTATTCATTACAAAAACTCAAAGAAAATCTGCATAATGCTCAGTAAATAAGACTAGCTTTAATCTAAGTAAACATTGGGAAAAATCAAACATCTGTATATAAACTGTATATTAAACTGGTAAACTTTTCTGTTGGTGATAGATCATGAAAATATATTATAGCATAAAGTATGGGTAAAGATACAATAAGTAAGAAAACAAAGAATTTGAGATATTAATTAGCATTGTACAACAATTTCTAGAGAAAATAAATTATAATTTTTTATGAGTTCTAGATATGTACGGCCCTATCACATTACATAATAGGGCAATAATAGCTTGCTTAATATGTTTATGCAGCAACCAGTTAAATACTTTCCGTGTGCCAATGTTTTTTCCTCATTGTCAAAAATCCTGCATCCTTTGTTGTGTCACTTGTCCTTCTTGTGAAAAAAAAAGATTCATTTTTAAATGAACATTTGAAAGGACACTTGTGCATGCAGGTTTGTGCATATTTTCCCATCTGCTAGAGTATTTGTTTTAGGTGAGCTCTTAGGTATCTGTATCATGTGAAGAAAGTTTGAACCCTTATCCTTGCTCTGTAATTACACTAGCCCTGTAGTCAGCTCCATAAGCCTTTGTTCCTTTATTAAAGACTCTTAATGGTGGTTGTTTAATTTAATTATTAATCACTGTCATAAAAAAGTGTTTACAGATAGCTTACAACTTATCCTCTCAAGAGAAATATCACTGTTAACAATTCAACTAAGTCTAACTCATGTGAGGACCCAGTTCCTCAATTCAAAAGGTTTCTGACTTGATGATGCAGTTAAAAATTACACCTCTAGGCTTCTATGTGTATCCTGTGCCTATGTCAGGTGTCGAATCCCAAGTAAAGAGGGACACTGTTAATATTAGATATTAAGCCATCAAGCTATAAATTAAGGGATTTCAAAATTCTTGTAACTAGCCCCACCTCACGAATACAACTTTAGCTGCCATTATTCTGCAGGGGAAATCCTTTGAGCCAAACAGGCCCATAAAAATTCTGAATACATTTTCTAGTTGCACAATTTCCCATCTTTTTAACATGAATTTAATTAATTAGAAAACATTGTTTTAAACTTTTATGCGTTCTGTTTCTTTAATTCACTTAATGATTTCAAGTCTGTTTCACATAGCAGCTTCATAAAGTTATAAAATCATAACAAAACATAAGAGAAAATCTCTGGGTCCACTATGTGATAATGTCAAGGAGAGTAGATGTTAAATAGAATATAATTTACTGATGAGGGACTCTGCAATGGATTTCACCACCTGGAAACTCCTGAGAAAATTAACCCAAGTACTTCTGAACTAAACATCAAACAGTCTTGTTTTTCAGAAATAGTGTTGAAGTTACTTCGTATATTTTTCCCTATTCTGCTTAATTTTAATTCCAGATAACAATCATTCATATAAATTCTATTTTTACAGTACATAGAAAACAACTTCCTAGACTTTTATGCGTTTTTTTTATAAGCACACTACTAGCAAAGGAGTAGTTTAACAGTGCTTATTGTACGCTAGACTCAAAGTCAATTCTTTAAAATCTCCTCCATCAATAACTAAAGCAAAAAGTGGAAAACTATTAAAACCAACGCTGGCCCTTCTTAGAAACTAAGCACAAATATTTAAATGTAAGTATCAACTGTTACACAAACATAAAATCTTTATAGTAACCTATACCATATTTCTTTGTAAAAAAATAAATAAATAAAAAAGTCCCTAGAGAATTTTTGTTAAAAAGGCAGTTCTGAGATTTCCTTATTTGATTTTTTTAAAATTTACTTAAATGGGCCAGTTAAAAATAGGGACACAAAGAAGAGGAGAAATAGCAACTTAGGCTGTCCTTAGAAGAACAATGTCAGAAAAGTCTGACTCGAGAGAATATGTGTACGTCAGCTGGGAGAGTTCCCTCTATAGTGAGTTCAGATATCAGGAGGACTTAACAGAGTCCCTGGCTATAATGTAGGAAGGAGTGTGGGAGGACAGTCCTCCTATTTCTGGAATTGATAACCTTATTGAACTAGAAGTCTACAAAGCCTTGGCTAGGAAATCAAGTTCTGAAAAAAGTAATATGCTCCCTTTCTCTACAAACTCTACCATATGGGACTCCCGCCACCGTCCAAGTGGGGGCCACTCTGAACAATTTACCCTGCATAAACCAGCACTTTTTTCACTACATGCACGAACATCAATAATCACTGCTATTTATTTTTCCAACACTTTGTAGCTTATCTCCCATCTGCACAAAATTATTCATTTGGATGAAAATCTAATTTTAAAAGCTTTCAAAAATGTGTTTTCACTATTACACATTAGGTCAGCGAACAAGCATTCCAGGGAGGAAAAGCTGATTCTCTCTAATACTCACATTATGCTCCTTTAAAGAACTACTTCCTTTAACAATGTATGACATATTTGATATGAAAACCTTGCCTTAAAGTCACTCATATCGCAGAGTTTGGAATTGTGGCTTTAAAAGAAGCATTTAAGAGGAAATTTAAAACTCTCCTTAAATATCTTATAAGAATATTTTCAGACTAATAAACACCTACTTGAGTACAGAAACCATACCAAAAAACCTGACATTAAGAAGCCCAACTTTGCAAGAAAACACTGACAACCTTCTCTTAAGAGGAAGCCCAACAGCAATTCTTTCTATCAGAACTTAATCAAAAGCTTCCATAAAGAAATAGGTAAATCTCACAATCATCACACGACCAAAAAAGGAATTATACAATTACAATAACACATACATAAAGTACTAAATGCTAATGAAACAAAACAATTGAAACCACTAGAAAACCAATCATAAATTTACTTAAGAAAAAAAAAAAAGGGAAACTTTTAATTGATTAATATATTGGTGAGTAGATACCAGGACAGTCCGAGGAAACAGATCCAAAATACATTTAATAAAACACAAGGTACTACCCAAAGCACCAATAACTGTTTGTGTCTACTTACAGCCTATATAGCTTCGAAGTCCCAAGAAACAGCAACTCCGGAAACAGCTGAAGGTGATTTCTGTTTAAACGCCTTTTGAGAAAAACAAAAACAAAGCTTATGTTACATAGAAAATACTTGACAACGAGACTGTGATTTGGTAGTGTCATGCCTCACCCTGTATTTCAGGAAAGAATGAGATGACATTCAAGAGAATTCAAGCATTGAAAATCAAAAGTTGGTTACACCTTTTGTTACATGACTCTTTAAAGCAATTTCCATTATGTTTACTCAGATGATGATTATTGGGGTCTAAACTCTAAACTCAAATCCTGTGCAACATCAGTCAACCAGAATATACACAATGAGAAAGGATTTCATGACAAACTCTGGAGTCCAAATTAAGCAACTTCAGTACACAGCAGAAATACCACAGTAAATGGTGTCTTAAAATAATTCATACACTGTCCCAAATGGCCTAAATTTTTAGCCAAGACATTGTGAGGAGATGGAAATTAAAATTTTGTTAGCTTTTCATTTAGTTGGGGGAAGAAAGGATGAAAAAGTGTCAGAAAGATTTGTCTCCATAGGCAGAATCAGAAGGAAACCAACAAAGTTCAAACCTCAAGCCACAGCTCTCAATCCTTAACTAAATTTAAGGCTCAGAGTTATAACTAATAATAGTGTCAAAAACTTTAAGTAATGTGTTAAAATGTTTAACTGATACTGGAATGTTTTAAATGTTTTAGAAAAATATTTTATTGCAACTCTAACTCAATTTAAGCCTTGATGATTTGTAACTACATTCTTTTGGACTATGAACACCTACTAAATAAAGAGTGGGCACATTCTGTCCCTGATGTACTAATATTCCAATCCCATCTGTTTTAAGTGTACAGCTTAACATTTAATCAGAAATAATTGTTTATTTCTCTGCTTTTCCTAAATCTAAATAAAATGACAAGCTGACATAAAATGCACACAAATTATTTACACACTCCTTAGCTCCAGAGAAGAGTAAGTAGGTCCAGAAATTAATGTCACACTGAAGAAATCAGAAGGATTAAAGATAAGTGTTAGAGGACAGGAAGAGAGGGCATAGTAATATGTAAAGGGTCATCAGGTAGAAGCAGAATTACACTCATTTGGTCTCCAGAGGGCAGAAATGGGACCAGTGATTTAAGTCCTAAGAAAGTAGATTATAAGAAAGACCTTTCTATGAATTAGATATTAAGAAATGGAATGATCTGCCTTCAGAACTCTCAACTCCTTATTCCAGATATATTCAAGCAGAGGTTATGCATTTTTTTTTCTTGCAAAGGATGTAATAAAAAGAAATCCAGTATTAGGTGAGAAGCTAGACCAGGTGAACTGCAGAACTTCTTCCAATTCTAAAATGCCATTAGCAATGATGGTAACCACAACATTTGTTGCATAAACTCACATTATTAGGAAGTTGGTGATCTATAGAAACATTATCAGCAGTTAACAAAATGTACACTAATAAAAAAAAGTATTCCAAGACAAGTAGGAGCCAAATAGTAAAATGAGTGGTGAAAAGGCAGGTTTACTTTCCTCTTAAACCAATCTTTACAAATAAAGCACATAACAAGGTTAAATTTAAAGTGGAACCAAAAGCTTTTATTTACTCGTTCTCTGTTGGGCATGGTTCTGAGGGAAGGAGTACTTCTGGAGTCTATCATTTCACAATTTTGATAAAATATAGCTTAATTATGACTGTGTTACAACTGTCTTAAAAAAATAGATTTCAAAAATTTGCAGTAGTGCTAATGAGAACGTTTCTAGGAAAGCAACCACTCTTGGAAGGACCCACATTTTTCCAAAGAGCCAATCCCAATTTCTAAAATGGAAGATTTGGGTTTTCATAATCTGATCTAAACCATCAGATTAACAAACCTCATCTATGATTTTCTAGCCACAACAAACACTCTTCTTCAAGCCCCTAGTCCCTGCAGAAGCAGCTCTCTGTCTGGAGTGCTTTCTCTTTTCTACAAATGGTACTTTCTTACATCCTCTGTGAAAAGTCCCTTGATTCTCCTACATAGAGTTAGCACCTCCCTGGGCTGAGTCCCCACAGCATTTGGTAAGTAAGAGTCCCTTACTCTGTATTTATTTGTTCGTGTACTGGTCTCTTTCCCACCAGGCTGTGAGCTCTTCAAGTATAAAGACTCAATCTTTGTATCCCCTCCCTTCTTCCCTCTCACTGAGTAGGTTTTGAACCATATCAAAAGGCAAAGAAAGCAGTCTGTTCTCATTCACCACTTCCTAATCTTCCCTGGCACTTAGTATGTTCTTAGGAAATGGCGAGTAAGAACAGACTGCTCTCTTTGCATTTTCGTATAGTTCAGCAAGGCCCTAGCATGTTCCTTTGACATTAGGCCAACTTTCCTACAACATGCTCCCTGAGGTGCTTGCCTCAGGTTTTATGCCACTTCCCAACTAACCAAAGCCCCACTTTCAAATCTGCTTTGATGTGCCCTAGACAGCAGTCACCTCCTTTCCCTCCCATCCCCCTCCTTACCCCCTCTTCCCATCCTACACATGCTCAGCATCACCTAGAAGTTGGAAGGAATTCAGTGTGTGTAAACAAACTCAGATATGCAGGGACTGGTAGCAGCTTCCAGCTTTCTTGTGAACAAACCTACATCAATATAATTTCATATACTGTAAGGGAGAACATATTTCAGATGGGGGCAAGCAGTGTCTATTTCTTAATTATTATTATCATTTTCATATTCCCAGTGGTTCCTAATGAACCCCACAAATAACAGCTAATATGTACTAAGCTTACTATGTGAGGGTCACTGTCCTGAGAGCTTTATATGAGAATGTGTTCACTCTTCACAATGTCCTCGTGAGTAGGTATGATTCTTATTGCTGTTCTGGACAGAGTTACACAGCTTAAAGATTAGAGCAAGGATTGAAATCAGTGATGCGACTCCAGAACATATCCTCTGAGTCACTTCTCTCAATGAAACACAGTCTAAACAATCCTAAACAATATTTCAAAATAATGGAATGCTGAAACTTTTCTTTTCACCTCTTTCCTTAGGAAAAACAGCTTTATAGTCCATTTTTTAAATATCTTGGAACAAATCACCTGAAAATAAAGTATGCAAATAAAGCTCACTGTTTTAAACACCTATTTAAGATACCTAAAGTTGATAGAGAAATGAAAATATGTTCAAAACGTTTTTCTGCATTCATATAGTTTAGCATTTTTTCATGAAAGTTCTAAATGATCTTAATATGTCTAAACCCACCATGATACATTTATTTTTTGAGCACAGACAAGGTAGTATCCTACCAAAAAGGGCAGATAATAGTGATGTGGTAATATGCATAGACTAAGCAGTATAAGTTTGCTTTTTTTCTTTAAAAGAGTATCAATATACTTTTGGTTCCTGTTCTTTTCTCTCTTCCATCAGTTTAAGGTTAAATGGATATACAAACGTTAAAATACAAAAGAAAAAAAATTAAAATAAGAATCTTGTACAATGACTAGAAACTAAATCCTAAACTAAATAGCATTTTTTAAAATCTAGAATTACTTTAAAGTCTGTTAAAGTGTATAACAATTACTAAAGAGAGCTGGAGAAAAAGTAACTTAGATTCTGATGCCACAGAAAATGTCTTAGCACTGGAAAATGACAGTGTCATAATAAGAACTCTAATGTAAATGAGTTGAAGTTATAATCTTATGGTCCCAGAACAGGAAAACAGCACGTAATGAATTAAAAATATCACAGAGGATTATTTATAGGAGCCAACAAAAATTAGCTCCATTAAACAGACAGGTGAGTCAGTAATCCATTGTTCAGAGCAGGGACACTCAATTGTGTTAAAGGAGAGATAACAGAGGTACATGTAGGTCTTGAGTCATCACTATGGGATGGAATCTGCCCACAAAATCCGAGGACTGTTTGAGAATTCTCTGGATGGTAATTCATGGTTTCAGAAAGGTGTGTGATTTATGTCTCTGACAAGATACTTTTTCTTAGGCAAAGATGAGAAGAGATCCCAATAATTGTTTGCTCTTGGCTACCAGTTATATTTGAGTGTGACTTTCAGAAGGGTGAACAATCTTTCGGTGTTGCACAAAACACCACTGGCCTCTGAAATGCTGATTCTTAACAACCTCAATCTGAAGGGCAATCTGAGCAATATTGACAAGCATTGTTTAAAATTGTTATCTGCCAGCTGCTCCTGGGACTCTTGTCCTTTGCTAGAGGTTACAGTGTCTTCTTTCAATCTTTACCTCAATTCAATTAATATTTGCAATCTTCCATCCAATTCAAAATGTAAAATGAAAATAAAATGTTTACCAAAGCCAGTGAAAAATGTATGCTTCATATTCAAATGTCATTATTAATATAAGGTATTTCAGCAGCGTGCCTGGTCTGTAATAAGTGTTTGATAAACGTTACCTTAAAAAAAATCTATCATTTCTAACGCACTAATTTTAATATATAAACAATCAAGATTAGTACTAATTAGCTCCTTTTTGGGCTTTTTCTACTTGTCTTTTAAAAATGTTTTTATTCTAATGTTTTTAAAGCAAAGATTTTAATATTTATCTTGTATTACATAAATTAAGTTTAAATTTCAGCAGTATTATCAATTCAGGTTGCATAACATAAATAAAATTAAGTTTATATTTTCAGCAGTGATATGACTGATCATTTCATCCTTTGTAGTCCATGCAAGGGAGGTCAACACTTATTAATAAAAATGTGGCTTTTTCTTTAATCTCCTTACTTCTTCGTATTTCTTTACAATTGAGAGGGATTAGGAGAAATCCTCTGAAACAAAACTGTAAGGAGGTTTGTACTTTCTTTACATCTCTTCTACTGATCATATACTATGGTAATAAGAAAATCAGAATGAAAACCACAGTAAATATGGATGAATATGTCAAATTTATTATATATATATATATATAGCTCAAATAAAATAATTCCTAAACTCAACTTGAGAAATAGGACAGGTGCGACAAAATGCATAATAGTTGTTTAAGTGCTATGTGCCAAGCATTTTGTGAAACTATGGACATTATCTCACTTTAATCATGT